TCCTGTTCCTTCACACTGTCAGGCTCAGCCCCCAGGTTAATTGCTGTTTTTGTTGTTTGTCCTTATCCTTTGTGTTATCAGGCTTACCAACTCCCCGGGTTACTAAATGTTACTTCACTGATGTTAATTCACTTCTCTGAGCTATCAGACTCACTCAGTCAGCTTTCCCAATAATGCTATCACTCGACATTGATTGGAAAATATACCAATAGAATGGAAATAAAAAGACTTGAAGCATGCCAATGCTAGCGAGTCATCCGGCTATAAGTTTTTGTAAGTTGTTCAGAAGGTGACACTCCCTCTTTAACTTTGTTTTGAAAGTTTTTCTGTTTTTCTTTTCACTTCTGAGAAATGAATCATTTTTTCAGCATCCCTTTCCAGAGCATATCAGTTACAGCCCAGATGTGATGGCTGTGTTTAGTGGATGATATTCTAATATGGCAAGAGGTTCCCAGTCCGATATCAGCCAATTGATTATATTTTTGGTTCAGCTTGAAAATTAGTGTTCACCAGCACAATAGTTTTATTGTTACCGAGCAGAAACGAGAATCATCTCAATAGTGAAGAATGTGAGATTGAATATCAACAATTCTGGAAACCATATGGCACCACAGCTCTTGGCTCTATGGGAAAGGAAATTCCTCTTTTTATTGACTGGCTTTGTTGGTTTTTGGATAGATATGTCAGTAAGTAATTCCAGGCCTAATACCCCTAACTCCATGGCTCTGGTAACCCAGACATTCAAAAAGACATCATCACTTGCCCTAGGTGATGTAATAGTTTGGAGACTATCCTTTCACTTCAGGTAAAGGTATCAAGTTCAGTCCCAGTGAAAGGACAAAGACTGTCTCTTCTGCTGGGAAGGGGAGGTGGGAACAGGGACAGGGTGGGGGATTGGGTTAGTGAGTGCCTTGAGTGTGTTTAGTGGATGGGGACCGAAAGGGGACACTGGGTGATAAGTGTCCCCTGAAATCCAGGACCATCTTCAAACCTAGCCCTGGTAAAATAGTCATCTCCGCTCCCTCAAATCCCAAATCCCGGTTGCTCAAGCGCAGATGGCACAAAACCGGCCTCACGGTTTACTGCCAGCTGTGGCTTGAGCATCTTCACACCTTCCGCCGCTCCCTCTTGCAATCCAAAACTGCATTCTACTCACAGGTCATTCTGGAGGCCAAAAACACCTCCAAAATCCTATTCTCCACCATCCAACACCTCCTCCACACGACCCATCAAGCACCTTCAATCCAGACATCTAATGCCAAGTGCGAAGAGGTCGTGGATTTCTTTATCTCCCAGACAGATAACATCCGCCTGGCCGCCTCCTCCTCCTGCCCTCTGTCCCCCACCACCTCTCCCCTCCATTCCTTCCCCATCACCCACTCCTCCTTCCAACGCTCCTACCATGGGCCCCAACCTACACTCCTTTGCCCCCATCTCTTCTTCCTCCCTCTCATCCTCCATTACCCAGATGAAACCACTACCTTCTGCCTCGAGCCCCTCCTCACCCAAATGCTGGTCACTCAACTCCCCCTCCTCTGCCCCTTACTGCAGACACCATAAATCAGTCCCTCTCCTCAGGCTCAGTCCCACTCCCCCTCAAAACAGCTGTCATTACTCCCCTCCTTAAAAAACCTACTCTCGATACCTTAAATGTTATGCCCTGACAACCCATTTCTAAACCTGCCCTTCCTTGCATAAGCCCCGGAACACGTTGTTGCAACCCAACTTCACTCACACCTCGCCCTCCACTCCCTGCTCAAACCTCTCCAGTTTGGTTTCTGTCCAGTCCAAGGCACAGAGACAGCACTCATCAAAGTACCAAATGACATCTTCCCTCTCTATGACCAGGGCTCCCTTTGCTTCTTCATCCTGGATCTCTCCGCTACGTTTGACACAGTCGACCATACCATCCTCCTCCACCGCCTCTCCTCTCTCATACACCTTTGTAGGACCGCATTTGCATAGTTCGAATCTTACTTAACCAACCACCAGCACTTCATCTCGGCCAATGTTTTTTCCTCTCGCCCCCACCTGTGGGGTACCCCAAGGCTCCATTCTTGGCCCCCTTCTTTTCCTCATCTACATGCTCCCTCTCGGCGATGTCATCTGCAGACATGGGGTCAACTTCAACATGTATGTGGATGACACACAAATCTACTTCTCTTCCTCCTTTTGCAACTCCCAGACCGCTGATGTTCTGTCAGTTTGTCTGACACAAACTTCCTACAGCTGAACGTTGAGAAGACGGAAGCCAAGTGCAAAGAAGTCTTAAATTTTGGCTCCAGTCAATGTCTTCTCCGCTCGGTTCAGAACTCCTCACCCTCCCTGATCTCGTCACCCTCACGGATCTCTCCCTGAGACTCACTAAACCCAATCCCCAGCCATCCTTCATAGCCCATAGCCGGTCCCTGACCAGGACCTTCACCTCCACCACACTGACCTGGCCAGGATCACTTTCCTCTGCCAACCACACATTGCCCACCTCCATCAGTACCTCACTCCAAAAGCTGCTGAAACCCTCGTCCATGCCTTTGTTACCTCCCATCTCGACTATTCAAACACCCTCCTCACTTGTCTCCCCTGCTCCACTATTCACAAAATTCAACTAATTCAAAATTCCGCTGCCTGCGTTCTCACCCGCATTAAACTCCATACCTCCATCACTCCAGTCTTTGTCGAACTCGAATGGCTCACTGTCACAGAAGAGATTGATTTCAAGATCCTCACTCTAATGTTTAAATCCCTTCACATCCTGGCAACCCCCTATCACTCCAACCTGCTCTCTCCCTACACTATTATCCGCTGCCTCTGCTTGACTGGTTCTGGCCTCCTCCTTGTCCCCCAGAGCCTCCACCCGACCATCGGTGGCCATGCTTTCAGCCATTATGCCCCGAAGCTGTGGAACTCCCTCCCTCAATCTCTTCGCCTTGCCCCCACTCTCACTATTTTCAGGTCACGCTTGAAGACCTTCCTCTTGGACAGTTCCTATGGTCACCTTTCCCCTNCCCCCCTGGCTTGGCATCAGGCTCCGCTACTATTAAGTACTCCGAGATGCCGTATGGCATCAAGAGCGCTATATAAATGCAAGCTGTTGTTGTAAGTACAACGAGTGGGCGGTGAATGAGGTCTGGATGGGTGCAGTTGATGAGAGAGTGGATGTTTGATGTTGATCTGGGAGATTATAGAGTTCCATTGGGTTGTAATAGAGTTTCAACTATTTCTCTATCTTCCTTTGTTGGGCTCAGTCTTGCTTTTCTGCATCCCACTGCTGCTTAGTATGTGACATAGCAGCTGCAATTGTTTTTCTGTAGATGTATCTCACACCCAATACCACTAAAACCCTCATTCCACTTAAGACTTTTCCAACACACTCCTCTCTGGTCTCCCTAGCTGTAACTCATTCAAAACTCTGGCACCCACATCTTTACCCGCTCCAAACTTTGCATGCCAATTCACCCCGATCCTTTCCAGTATCCACTATCTTCCTGTCTCCCAGTGGATCGATATCAAGGTGCTCACCCTCACTTACAAATCCATCCACTCCCTGCCTCTGCAATCTTCTCCTACCCTTCTCCTCCACACGCCCTACCCACCCAGATGACTCGGACTTGCTGTACATCCCATGCCTTCTCCACACCATCGATGACCGAGCCTTCAGTTGCTATGCCTCTAACCTCCGGAACTCCCTCTCTCGACCACTCCATCACCCACCCCCACCCCCCCACGCTCCCCCAGTCTCAAATGCTAGCTCTTTGAACATGCCTATGACCACCTCCCACTTCTCCCTTGCTCTCCCTTCTCCTTCGCCCTTCCATGTACAGCACTCCGAGACACTACACCATATAAAGAGCTCTATATAAATTCATCTTGTTGCTGCGGTGTCAAACCAAAGTGAAATCACCCCTTTTACCTGGTGTGCTCTGGGTAATCTGCGCGTACATTTCTGTTGATTACAGAGGTTACTGAGTAATATAGAAAAGCACAGAATGAGCAGACATCAGTCTGAAATGTTTGGTAAATTAACGCTATATTTTTCAGGTTGGTGCCTATATTCTCAAAGAGTGAATTTAGGATTGGGAAGTTTCTCAGAAGCAGATACTGGAATGTGAGGCAGGAGAGAATGTTCCTCAGATAACAATTCAGGCTCCAGCAGTTATGCTGAGCCAACACTAACAAAAAGGCCCTGTGACTGTCGCTATTACCACTTTTAGTGGAATGCAGCCTGATCATTAGAATCATTAGGGATAGTAGGGATCAGAATTCTAAACCCAAACCAAGACGAATTGGGTTAATTCTTGAATTGGTCAAATCTGTTCACTGGAGATGCATTTATCATAATGTTATGCTGCAGTTATCTAAACATCAAGAAATGAGTCATGAAAGAATGAGACAACAAGAACTATAACATGTGCAGTGTTTTTGTAAGATGCGTGTGTATCCGTGAGAGAGAGGGAGAGTGGGGGGGGAGGGGATTGGTTGTTACAAGCCAGGGAGAGGGGGTCAATGTCGGGTGAGGAGAGGGGGTCAGCGTCAGGTAGTCAGGTAAGTGAAATCGATAGGGTGTTTGTGCTGTATAGAAAGACCATCAAAGTACCACCTAAAAATACCTCAGTCGCTCACACCCCTCAAAAGATTCCTTCAAGAGATAGCAACCTAATTCCGTCTTGAACATGCTAACACTACCACCCCCTCTCATAGTCCATTCCACATAATCATTCTCTATTTAAAGTAAATAAATCAAAACAGTCTGTTAACTTTCCCCTCTTCTGGACAGAATATAATCAATTCCTACAACGTTATATCAACAATAGATTATCCATGGCATGTTTTAGCTTACTTTGATCTTACCGTTACTGAGGTAATGATACCCTCACCACAAAGTCTTTTACTGTTGATAACGTTTTATGACTGTTTAAAGCGCATGGAATTTTGCACACTTGTGATTGTTGTGAGTCAAACTCTTCCTCCTGGCAAATTCCTTTTTCCTTTTGCTTTTCCAGTTCTGTTCCCATCTGCCCAAAGGCTGAAACGCCATGATCGAGCCATTCCTGTTAATACTGGCTTCCATCATTCGGAGGAGGAGATGCAGCTGCTTTATGAGGTCTCTCTCCCTTTGATTTTTCTTGGTATTCCAAATGAATACTTGATCCAGGTCCAATCAGAAACTAAATGGGGCTGTGTCTTAGTCAGGGAGTCAGCTTGTTATGTACCTTGGTAATCTGATGGTTATTGGGGGATATTGTCCAGTCTTCAGTGCTTTGGAGAATGCTGTTTCTCTGCTTATAACCTTGTTTTTTTTCCCAACTCAAATAATCCTAACACTGAATCTCCTCTGCCCCCAAATCAATTCAAATGTGGTTCCTGGTGAGACTGTGAAACAAAACTTTCACTCACTCCCTGTTGAAAATGGAAATGTGCTGCTATGGACTTTGAAAATGGGAGCTGTACATCTTGGGCTCTAACATGCAATGATATCTAACAAGATTCCTTAATATAGATGTACTCACAGATATCATAAATCTCTCCTTGTCCACTGGCACTGTTTCCACCCCTTTAAAAACAGCTATCATCACTCCTATCCTTAAAAAAACACTCTATCCTCATCCACCACCTCTCCGCTCACCTCAACCTTCATGGTTCTGACCTTGAATGGTTCAGATCGTACCTCTCTCACCACCTCCACTTCATCACCACAAATGGTTTCTCCTCTAGCCCCCAAACCATCTTGCGCAGCGTTCCTCAGGGCTCTGTCCTTGGTCCCCTCCTCTTCAATACCTATATGTTCCCTATTGGTAACATCATCCGCAGACATGGGGTCAACTTTCACATGTATGCAGATGACACCCAACTGTATGTTTCTGCCTCCACCCTTGACTCCAGGACCACTGCTGTCCTGACAGAATATCTGTTAGATATCAAATCCTGGAATGAGAGCTAACTTTCTTCAATTGAATGTCAACAAGACTGAGCCCTCCTGATTGGCCTCCATACCTCATACGCTCATTCATAACATCCAGGTTTGATTATACAAACTACTTGTTTGTCGGCCTCCCCAACTCCTCCCTCCATAGGCTGCTGATCAACCAGAACTCTGCAGCCCATGTCCTCTCTTGCACCAGGCTCCATGACCCTATCATCTCCATCCTTGCCCAACTCCATTGGCTTTCCATCACACGGAGGATGCAGTTCAAGATACTGGTGCTCACCTTCAAACCCCTCCATGGCCTCGCTCCCCCCTACCACTGCGACCCCCTAACCCCCTACCAATTTGCCTGCTCCCTCCATTCAGCGGGCTCCAGCCTGCTTCACATCCCTTGCCTCGCCCACTCCACCATTGGCAGGTGGGCCTTCAGCCTATCTAACCCCACCCTCTGGAACTCCATCCTGCAGTCCCTCCACTTCCCCCCCCCCCTTGCCTCCTTCAAGACCCATTGCAAAACCCTCCTCTTCGACCATGCTTTCAATCACTCTCCCTCCTTCTGAGGGAACTAAGTGCTCTGAGACTCTACCCTGGGTGGAGGTGCTATATAAGTCGTTGTTGTTATTGTTATTCTCCCGCCTTCCACCCTACCCAATCCCGAACCCCAGCTCAGGTCCGAAACACAGACTGTCCAGTGCCTTGGGATGTTATTTTGTTGTTGTTGTTGTTGTTGTACTAGATCTTTACTTTCAGAGCAGAGTTCCTATGAGTCATGTGATTTTTTTTTTTGGTCAGCCAGGTTTCTGACACATATGGAAACTCATCACCATGCTTAACATTGTCCCAAGAAAGTCAAGAATTCTAATGCATCCCACCTACACATGAGGCTCTGGCCTGCTCCACATCCCCCGACCCACCTTCCCCACCATTGGTGGGAGAGCCTTCAGCCACTCTGCGCCCAACCTCTGGAATTCCATCCCCCAGTCCGTCCACCTTGCCCCCTCCTTAGCCTCCTTCAAGTCCCGCCTCAAGACCCTCCTCTTCGACCATGCCATCGGCCACCCCCCTTCCCCTCCCCGCCCTTCCCCCCAACCGCAGCTCAGGTCTGAAATGCTGTACTCTGTCCAGCGCCTTGGGAGGTCCTCCTGACGTGAAAGGAGCTATACACATGTAATCTTGTTGTTTTTGTTATTGTTGTTGAGAGTGATGTAGCCTTTCCAGACGCTAATCATTACATATTTTCCCTACAAATACAGTCACTACATTTTACAATACAAAATGCAAAGAATTATTATTATTTTCATTATTATATTTCTAATCATTTTTCAAGCCCATAAATAATTGGTTTGTTTAGATGTATGTTTCTTGACACTATTCTGTCCTCTTTTAAAATATGTTCTTTTGTACATTTCAGTTTCTTTTGGGTGGTTTTAACATAGATGACAACTTCCATTGCTCCCTCAAAGACAAAGAACTTGCATCAATGAGAGCAGCAAAGAAGTTTAACACGATTTTCAACGACATTATTCCCAAGAACATCACTGAAATCCGGAGACTTACAGATAGAATATCCAGGAACACTGGAGAGCTCAAGCCGGAGGACTTTGAACGGATTGTGCTGACCTTAGTGTACACATCTTACCAGGCCTTAAGGTTTCAGGGACATCAAAAGGATACCTGGGTGGAATCACTTGTGAACATTTTTCAGATTTTAAAACAGGATCTGACCATGAAATGATCTTAGTCTGCCGAGCATGGAATGCAAATATTCTTTTAAGAGTTTGATTCTTTGAATACTTAACCTTCTTCTACCCATTTTCATTTTCAGATAGCTTCTCCGATTTCCAGAACATGTAATAATAATAATAATCCTTGGATTTGGTAAAGCGCCTTTCACATCAGGAGTGAAAAGTCCCAAAGTGCTTTACAGGATTTACTGTGGCAAGCATCCCAAAATGCATTTTTGTGGGAGGTTTTGCTCTGGAACATACACACGAACAGCCGCGCTTACTGGACATTTTGTGCTATTAATAAAAAAAGGCATAGATTGTACGTGGCACCCCCTCCCCCTCACCACCACCAAACTACAGGAGTGCCTGACAAAATTGAAAGAATTAGGAAACTGGGCCCAATATTACATTCAAGGAATGTAAGTAAACTCAATCACATCAAACTTCATCTTTTGCTGACCACAGGGCTTTAACCCCTGGCACATTAATTTACAGCACTATTTACTTAAAAGAACAAACAAAGGGTTCTCAGCAAGCACTCATGACTCAATGAAAAGAATGTAACATTACTTTGAGCCTCCCTTCGCTCTCCCTCTCATTCTGCCCATTTTTAGTTGGAACAATAAACCCTGAAACAAGCACTGCAGTTTCAGAGTTAAGGATTCAAAGAGTCAGAAATGTTAAGAACTGAAAGCAAGTGGAATAAGAACGGGTTATTCTATATGAGAATGCTACAGTGACTCGACCATGATCATTTGTTAGCCTAGTGCATGGGGGAGCTGAGTAATGTCAGAGGTTAGACACCATCTTTCACTATTGAGACCTGGACTCAAATTCAGGACTGGACAAATTACACAAAGAGGCTGGATTGGTTGGGAAATAGAAAGTCACACTGACTGTGTAGTGTGAAGCTGCTCTGAGGTTCAGTTAAGAGTTGAGGGAGTCTTCCTCTGGAGTTTGTTGTGATATAACTAAACTCATTAGATTGTAACAAACTGCACAGAATTAACCCGCCGGAACAATTTTTTTATGGTAGATTTAGAAATAAATGCAGTTGCTGTATTTGAAGTACAACGTATAAACAAAATGGAAAAATAACGGTTTTAGATAGATGTGTTGCATTCTGTGCTTTAATAATACCTTGTATATTGTTATCCACTGGTGCCAGTGATTTTGCTACTGAGGCCTTCTGACATGGGGGCAATACAACTACAACAACAACAACTTGCATTTCTATAGCAGGGTCTCACACGCGGTAGCTTCCCAGAGCATTTGACAGTGGCGGAGTCTGACCCTGAGACAGGGGGAGAGGGAGGGGTGGGAGGTGACCGTAAGCAACAACAGAATATTGCACATACATAGTGCCCTCCACGCAGGGGTAGCGTCTCAGAGAACTTAACAGTGGTGGAGCTTGACTCCGAGCCGGGGGGGGAGGGGGGAGGTGGCCGTAAGCACAGTCGAACAGGAAAGTTTTCAGGTGGTACTTGAAAGAGGGGAGAGGGGGGGGGGGGGCAAGGTTAGGGGTTGAGGGAGAGTGTTCCAGAGTTTTGGGGATCAGTGGCTGAAAGCACGACCTCCGATGGTGGGATGGAGGGTGCGAGGGAAGAGCAGGAGGCCGGTAACAGTGAGCGGAGGCTCCGGGTGATGGATTGGGGAGTGAGGAGGTTGGGGAGGTAGAGAGGTGCCAGGGAGTGAATGGATTGACCATGAGTGTGAGGATCTTGAAGTCCATCCGTTTGGTAATGGGGAACCAGTGGAGCCTGGCCAGAACTGGTGAGATGTGGGTAAGGAGTTTGTTCCGGGTCAGTATGCGGGCAGCAGAGGTTTGAATGAGCTGGATTTTGTGAATGGTGGAGCTGGGGAGACTGGCGAGAAGTGCATTGGAGTAATCCAAACGGGAGTGACAAACAGATGCACAAGGATTTCGTCTGCATTTGGAGTAAGGTTCGGTCGGAGGCGGGCAATGTGGCGGAGGTGGAAGAAGGCGGTCGTGGTCGGGGACTGGATGTGGAGGAGGAAAAACATTTGGGGGTTGAACCAGACGCCTAGGTTGCGCACTGGATCAGTGAAAGTGAGGGAGAGCCCAGGGAAGTTGAGGAGTTAATATCTGCAGGAGTGAAGACATTGACGGGAGCCAAGGAATATGGCTTCCGTCTTGTCCGTATTCAGCTGCAGGATGTTTACACTCATCCAGGCCTTGATGTCTGCCAGACAAGCTGATAGAACATCGGGGGACCTGGAGTTGGTACTGGAGGAGGCAAAGTTGATTTGTGTGTTATCCGCATACATGTGGAAGTTTACCCTGTGTCTGTGGATGACATCGCCCAGAGGGAGCATATAGATAAGGAAAAGAAAAGGGCCAAGGATGGAGCCCTGGGGTACCCCGCAGGTGACCGGGCGGGGGTGGGAGGAGAAACTATTTGCTGAGATGAAATGGAGGTGGTTTGTTAAGTAGGACTTGAACCATACAAGGTAGATGAGGGAGGAGAGCTGATGGAGGAGGATGGCAAGGTCGACTGTATCGAACGCGACAGAGATATCCAGGAGGACAAGGAGGCAGAGGGAGCCCTGGTCACAGATAGAAAGCAAGATCAAAAAGGAAGGTCTTTAGGTGGGATTCGAAAGTGGGGAGGGAGGGGGCAAGGTGGATGGATTGAGGGAGAGTTCCAGAGTCTTGAGGCATAGTGGCTGAAAGCACAGCCACCGATGGTGGAGCGGAGGGGGCGAGGGTCAAACAGGAGGCCAGAGCCAGCTGAGTGGAGGCAGCAGGTGGGGGAATGTGGGGTAAGCAAATCGGATAGGAAGGTCCAAGGGCATGAAGGGATTTCAAAATGAATGTGAGGACCTTGAAATAGAACCGTTCAGTAAATGGGAGCTAGTGGAGCCTGGCAAGGACTGGTGTGATGGGATACGGAGTTTTATGCCGGTGAGTATCCGAGCGGCAGAGTTTTTAATCAATTGAATTTTATGTATGGTGGAGCTGGGAAGACCAGCGAGGAGGCATTGGAATAGTCCAGCCGGGAAGCGACGAAAGTGTGGACAAGGTGAGGACAGAGACGGGCAATGTGATGGAGGTGGAAAAAAGCGGTCTTGGTCAGGGAACAAATGTGGAGTAGAAAGGAAATCTGGGGATCGAACATAACACCTAAGTTGCACACGGCTTTGGTGATTCTGAAGGAGAATCCGGGGAGGTTGAGGAGTTAAGACCCACAGGAGACGTTGACAGAAGCCAATGAGTATGAATTATATCCATTATTTTGTCAGCTGGTCCCTATTTTGTCCCATTTTCCTGAATGATTTTTGTCAATAAACCCAAAATACACTGCGTTTAAGAGTTATTACTGAATGACCAAGTTCAATTACTTCTGGCCACGCTTTGCATTTTAAAGAAAGACTTGAGTACACATGCAGATCCCACATAGAGGGTACATGTCTAACCCAGTGTATGACCAAATTGACTGCGTAATGTATTTTTTTTTTGGTCAGCCGGGTGTCCGACACATATGGAACCCATTACCGTGTTTAAGAGTATCCAAACCAAGCTGAGAATTTCATGCCTCCTATCTGCACAAGGAAATTCCAGAGAGAGTTTGTTGGAATGGAATGCTTCCTGCTTACCAAATTCTGGTTAGTATTAGGCACAGGTTGGCAAGAGCCAAGGCTTGGGAACCCTAGAGAGTGCTTTGGGATAACTGTTGGAGTCTAACCAGCTGAAACCACATAGCTTGCCATTGATAGCACTGTCCGGCAAGCTTCCCCGGTGCTTGTCCAGCTAGGACCCCCTATCTGTTTGGCTTGCACGGTTAACAGGAGCAAACCCAGGAAGACAATCACGACATGGAGATTCGCACCTGTCATGATGTTATCCCTTTGGAAGTAGAACGGAATGAAATAGAAGTTAGGGGCAATCTAACCGTCTAATCGTTGCTTATTATATTTAAGAAAAGTTTTTTTTTCTTGCTCTTGTCCTGCCCAGACCTGTTCCGAACATTTCCCGAACCTTCCATATCGGTTCTGACCAAATCTGATTCCCCCCTGGCCCACCCCATGCAACTAAAATTGTCATCACTTCTGCTCATGCATGTACGTCATTCTATAGTTACAATTATTGAGAGGTACTGTATGGCACAACCCCTGGTTAGGGAGGGGGCAACAAATCCCATCTCCCATTCACTCTCCAGTGATCACTGCTGGAAGGTGTACGTGTCGGTGCAGTAGCAAAAATCTCAGAAGTTGCAGGCTTGGCAATTTGACATCTTCTAGGGGAATAACATTAGGGCACAAAATAATGGATATAATTCATGCACTTTTGTGAGCAAGAAGCCAAGAATTCTAAGTCACATGATCTACTGGAAGGTAAGTGATGTCCAACTATTTTACTGGAATTCTTTTGAAAAAGTAGTGCAGTTGGTGGTTGGCCAAGTGGTGAAATACAGTCAGTCCTGATCTCTTTCTAACAACACAACAACACTGTTCCAAGATCTTTAGCCTCCATTTTTAATGTTTCTGACATGTGGCATTTTTATTAACTCCACTTGCTTTTCTCATCCCTTGTTATAGGGGCAGTCCTCGTCTGACTTCTCCTTAGTTGCTGGATGTTGTCTAGATTTGCTCATTTGTCTATATTTTGTTTTGCCCACAAAATATACAGTTAATTCACTTCACAGTATATTCTGTGAAGCACTTTGAGATGTCTCGACAATGTGATAAAGCGCTATATCAAATGCAAGAATTATTATTGTTAACTTTCCAAATACAGTTAATGGTATCTCTCACAGCAAGCTTGTGGTTAAACCAAACATTCTGAAGCAACTGAGGAAGGCATCTGTAAAATAGGAGCTCAACAAGAGTCGTTATAATTGGAAAGTTGTGACCAACGGAGAGATTGATGCAGCAATCCCAGTTGTTTATAATTATAACTTGCCTTCAACCGGGTGTTCATTGAAAATCCAATCTCTGTGTCGATTGCAAGATATTATGAAGAGAAGACAGGATAAATTCATAAAAAGATCTAGAGAGTACAGAGAATTGGCTTCTGGGAAGATTGACTAAGTAATTTAATATGCAAAAATTACGGTAATGCACGAGAGTGAACAATAGATCAACAACAACAACAACAACAAGATTCCATTTATTGAGCGCCTTTCACG